AAGAATTCACTAAAGATTGCGTGATATCGGTTTATTAAGCAGACGGAACATGAAGGTCGGTATCTACTCCTAGAGTAGAAGAAGAAATTCTGACACGGATAGAGCGTAATCCGGGGACGAGTGTGTGGAGAATATCAGCCGAAGCAGGAATTAGTGCTTCTCTAGTTTGGAGAATCCTTCACGAGGAACTGTTTCATCCGTACCATGTATAACGAGTACAGAATTTAAAACCAATTGATCTTCAAGCGCGTTTAATGTTTTGCCGTTGGTTTCTACGTAATGATACTGAAGACAACCGTTTTCTTGCCAATATTCTTTTTATTGATGAGGCCAGATTCACATGCAATGGAGTTGATAATTTTCACAACACGCATGTTTGAACCGATCAAAATCCCCATGAAATATGGACATCAGACACGTTTTTCATTAAACATTTGGATGAGCATTGTAGGCGACTGGTTTTTAGGTCCTGTTGTTTTACCAAACCGATTAACAGGCGCTGCTTATCTAAACTTTCTCAAGAACACAATGATTAACCTTTTTGACGGCATTCCCTTAGATCAAAAGCAACAAATGTGGTTCCAGCATGATGGTGCTCCACCTCATTTTTCGATTGCAGTTAGAGAACATTTAAATCGAACTTTCCCACGTAGATGGATAGGAAGAAGCGGACCTGTACTAGACTTCTTTTTCTGGGGATATTTGAAAACTTTAGTCTATGGTACTACTGTGATTAGTGATTACCCTCGACGAGTTGCATGTACGAATTAATCAACAATGCCAACAAATTGGAGTCAATGAGGAGATTTTAGAAAGAGTTCGATTATCCTCAGACGGAGATGTCGTACCTTTTTGGATATGGAAGAAGGACGTTTTGAACATCTTACTTATTTTATTAACTTTATTTTTTGTTAGAAACTTCTTTTAAATGTTTGTTCGGGTGTCCCAAATTCGTTGTTCGCATAGGTTATCTCCGAAACTAAAAGAGATAGAAAAAAAGTAGCTGCGAAAACAACAAACGCGAATATCCCACTTATTACCAATGATGAAGTATTATAATTAAAACATTATGAGCAACTTTTTACGAAGAATTCAGTGGCGTAGATAGATTTTTTTATTCGGACATTGTCCGAAACTTTTACCTACAACCCGTTGTGTGTAAGCTTAAATGATTACAACGCTTTCTGAGCAATTTCTTTGCTCATTGAGTAGTGGAAAATACTCACAACGCGTTGGGGGGTATTTAGGTTTATTCAATAGCCCAAAATAACCAATTTTGCACATTGTGGCGTTTACTCAAAACACGTTGTGGACCCCAAAAAGTATCCACAGCGCAATGTGAGTATTTCACGGTTGCTCACAACACGTTGTGGCTATTCAATGTTTACTCAATTTGTAAATCATCGTAGGTAAAGTGGTCTTTCTAACCGAGGTACAACAAAAGTTTATTAAGTTAGCTCCACAAGGAAAAATAAGAAAATCACAAAGAAAAGTTTCATCGCTGCAAAAGCTTCTACAGAAAGTATTTTAGTAAATCTTACTATTAATGAAATGGTTACGAAAAACAAGAATTTTGAAGGAAAATAGATTTTATGAAGGAGTGAACCTTAGCAGTAATCATGATAGTGACCACATTTCATTGGCAAAGAAAGCTTTGGTTTTTATAGAACGGCGGCTGGAAAGTACCAGCTGCTTATTTTCTTATTAAAAAAAGCCTAAGAGGCGCAGAAAGTGTCAATTTATTAAAAACAGCTTTGGAACTATTGCATGATACTTAATGAGTATCGTTACATTCATTAATTGGAACAATTTTTAATTTTTCGAACAATTTGGATTCAGTGATCTAGAACAAGAAAGTATATTTATTTTTTTGATGCTTGCCATCATTGTTAAAATCCTCTCCCATTCTCTTAATCTACCCGTTTATATGTTCTCTTCTCTTTGAATGCTTGTAAAAATAAATCATTTTCGTATTTAAAACAATTGCTTAATTCTAAATGACACAACAGTAAACTATGTAAAAATAAATAAATGATACCCTACATTGCCACGTTATTGCGATATTTGATAAAACTGAAATTAATAAGAAAGCTGATAAGATATGTCAACTTATTTGGATCCAAGATACAAAATGAACTTTTTTGATGCTGATTTAACTAACGAAGCAACTTTTAGAGTTTTTAGAGGGTACTTTAATTAATAATTGACGATATTTTGACAAGAATCCTTCAAGAAATAAATTTGAAAGTTATCGATGAAAATTGCAACATCGAAAATTTTATCAAAACTTCAAATATTGTTTTCTCAAAAACTAAAAGTTATTTCCAAGAAATAGATCTTATACGAATTTTTAAAACTTATAATCATTTCACCGATAATCATATAATCGAAAAAATTGTCGATTATTTCAAAAATTTTTTTCTCAAGAACTAAACGTGATTTTTCAAAACGGCTTTTTGCATTAAAAAGAAGATACTATAATTAATAATTGGTGACATTTCCAGAAGGATCCTACAAGAAATTAATTTTATAGCGAATTTTGTAAGTTATCGATGAAAATTGCAACATCAAAAATTTTATGAAAACTTCAAATATTTTCTCAAAAACTAAAAACTATTTTTCAAAACGGGTTGGTTCATTGGAAAGAAGACACTCTTATTAACACTTTGGGAAATTTTCATACTCATGAAATCTGTGTTGTTTGATCCCGTAAGCAGTAAGAAACTTCCTTACACATCACTAGTAGAGCAGACAAGGGCTCAGTCACGGTCATTATAACGAAATCTTACATAGGGGGGGCGATAGGTATGCTAAACGATACAACAACATATAAAAAAGTCGATAATAACAAAGATATGACTAGCATAATTCAATATAGAATAAAATAAATTAGTCAAAGAAATCTATGAAAACAAGTTAATAGAAGAAGTCACATTGAAACAACTTACTACATACAACTCCACTTTATCTAGAGCATACTTTTTGCCTAAAATACATAAAGATGACATACCATTGAGACCGATAATCTCTTCTGTGGGCTCTGCTACTTATGAGATTTCGCCGTTCTTCACTAACAATAAGATCTTAACACAAGCTTTTGAAGGTATAAGTAGTTATAATGTTAAAGATACGTTTGACTTTGTTAATGAATTGAGAGACACATTATTACCTGATGATTTTATTGTAATATCTTTAGATGTTGTAAATCTTTTTACCAACATCCCTATATCCTTGGTTGTAGTCAAGGATATAGTATAATATAATCAAAGAAAGATGGGCTCTTGTTTCTGACATTTTTGACATTGAGCAGGATTTATTTGTAAAAGCTTTGAATGTTGTTTTTGAATACACTTATTTTACCTTCGATAACACCACTTATAAACAAATTTTTGGTACTCCATTGGGTTCACCCATCTCACCCATTCTATCACAAATTGTTATGGACTACAC